GTCGCCGATATTCTGGTCAATATGTCGCAAGCAATAACTTAAATATTTCGAGGTAAACAATGAATAACCTGTTCCCACGACCCGATGGATGACTCAACACACCAACACATGGTAAAACAAAGCCAGCAGACATGGCGCTATTTCATAACGCACCTTTATATTGTCTCAAATGCAATAAGAACTCTATCGATGATTTATTCCAAATAAGAGAAAAACAGGTCAATTTCAGCACCGATATTTGAAATCTTACATTAAGAAAGATTATTACATCGCAAACGCGTTCTTCTCCTTCTTATTCGTTCGAGGAATGAATTTAAACGTCACCTGTGATCGCTGATCCAATTCAACACGCTCCGTCATAAAATGCAAAAACAGTTGTTCAGCGACAGAAATGTCGATTTAACCATGCGGTGTGCTCTTTAATTTTTCCCGCGAATTTCCCGCAAAATTCGACTGATCTGCTTCATCCATAATTTCATCAACCCATACTTAACTAATCTCACTCATCTCAACACGGCCCGTGGAGTCACAAAAATGCCCATTGAGTTAACAAAATAACTGTTTTTCTCTTCCCTATTTTTTAATTTTCCTGGCAGTCACGTTGCTAAAACTCGCCCAAATGAAATTGCGTTTCAAAATAATTGCTTGCGTGAAAAGCTTTTGCACCGTGATATTTGATCAAAAGCACCTGACTTTTTAGCTGTTCTAATCGCGATGTCAATTCTAATCTGCACGTGTTTTATTGAATTCGATCGCATGTGAATTGCATCTATGATGCCGAGTTATATGACAGCCTGTTTGTTTTACAGACTCCATTTCATTGACTCGCTTCACCACAAACTTTTCATGTAATGATTAAAAATGCCAACCTATTTTGGAAGGCACCCTTTTGTTAAATATATTGCCAAGGAATCAAATTGCGGCGTTTCTGAAACTATTCCTGCAATCTAATGAAATTGGACTCCGCAGGGGTCTTCATATGGGATGTAACGCCGGGTGAATTTTCTCGAAATAAACTACTCCATTAGTTAAGTTCATTACATTTCAAATCACGTAAAGTGGTCTACAACCGGCAAGATGTCAATAGTTAGCGTACAAGGTCGCCGATCAAACGTTCTAAACAAATGTTATTACCCGCAGAAGATAAATAAAAGTTTCACAGGGTTTCGGACGGTCACCAGCCCGTTAACACGCTCCACTGAGCAAATGGAAAACAATCCAAAATCATGCCGTCAAAAATTAAGCCGGAACATAATTTGCATCTCATTCATTTGACAAAATAGCATTAAGGGCGAAAAGAATAACGCAAAAGCTTCAAAAGATTTGAAATAACCAACAGACGTGAATTTACGCTTTCACCTCAAATTGAACGGCGAAAACTAACATATTTCATCCGATGAAAAAGAAGTTGCCTGTGTTTACAAAATAGGACTTTGTATATTTAAATTTCTAACTATCGAGCTGTGCATTTTAAACTTTGTGATGAATAAAACAATTTTGTAAACAGACGAATTTTTTTCAGTCGGTAGAAATTTCTGCAGAGGTATCAAATCCCGCAGGTCGAAGGAGAAGGGTAGGCTTGAAAAGTCCCCGATCGTGCCAAGTTTCTGAATGAATGAAATATTTTTTAAGAGCCACGTGTGGGAAGGAAAATCCTTAAACAACTTCCCGCATTCCAGGGTCACATCTGCCCAAAGCAGAAACCCACATGGCTCAGGTAAAACGACAATTCCTCGACAAAAACAAAATCAAATTTCGTAGTTTCATCAGCTAATCTAGTGTACACTTTGCAATTACAAGAAAAATACGTGGAAAGTCAAAAAGTCGAAATGCGGTAACATCTACTGCCACCTATATCAATCAAAACACTGGAGGGCTTCGAATCAAACCCGTCATTGATTCATAGAACACGCCTTCTACTAGAAATTACAAAAAGCACATTCATGGATGTGATTGTGATGAACACAGCTGCACGCGACACATTTCCGATCTTGCACGCAGCTATTTCTTGAGCAAGTCTCTTAGTTGATTACATCAGTCAAGTCTTACTCGATCAACACATGTGAGCTTACCTTACGAACGATTGCAAGGCTTGCTCGATGCCAGCGTTTGGGTTATCCGCCTCTTCCAGCTCGCAATCTACTGGGCTTGGAGCAGGGGACGATTTCAAAGGCATCGGCATTGTAGAGGACTGAATAAGTTCGCTATGTGACGATGGGGTTAAGTCAACAGTGCCTGAAGTGCTTGTAACTTGCTCTGCGCTAGCAGGCTTCGATCTCTCTACCATCATTTCACTAGAACTCTGCATGGCTATCAGCAGAGATTCTGAGGGGTAACCTTCGTCACTTCAAGTCTAGGAGTTCTACAAGTTCATAACAAGCCTCGATCATCCAAATACCCTCTCCACAATAATATCTCAGATTATTAATCAAACAGCACATGGGATAACGGGGGGTTACGCATGCGTGAGCGCACGTTCCAAATGAAGTTTGACAGAACAAGGTGTGAGCAACCAATAGAATGCCTTGTAGTAATTAGCATTGTTCCTTATCCAATTATGTTTTGTCATTAAAATTACTTGGCACTGACAACCTCTGATTTTATTCTAAGTGCAGCGAAGGGAAACCATTGCAAGCACTGCTCATAGTGGGTTTTCATTAAACCACCGTTTGCGCATTTTCAAACCAAGTCGGCAAGTCCACTACAATGCTTCCCACAGGTACAATTGCGACTTGTAAGCTGTGGGGTAATCAGACTGATACTGCGCAAATAAACTTTAGTCGTATCTTACGGGGAGCTTGCTGTGGTTGTGTACAACTCCCAATGCACAACGCCTATGAACGCCACCAATCTCTAGGGACTCATTTTCGAAAGGAGTGCTTCACTAAAAACCAAACCAAGCCGTCCGTGCCGCGCAGGTCTCAAAATCCCTCAAGTTGAACCTCGAATGATATGGAAAACACCCTAAAAATTTTTCAAATTTATCAATCCTCTTCCAAATGAAAAAATCGTTTTAAACATAATGTATGAAATCTGTTTCTAATGACTTTTTTCTAAAAACTTCGCATTTTTCTAGCTATTGATAGCAACTATATTTTGGTTAAAGAAGTTTAAGGTCAGCATTGCAAAACTTCTTTCATAGTGGCTCAAGGTAAAGCTGCATAAAAATATTGAAATTAGCTGAGCACTCAACGTCAGGCTTTTAAAAAAAAAGAAAAAAACAAAATCAATTACAGATTAAAATCGTACGACTAAACAAAACAAATTGTTATCCCATAGGGTTATTCGCTGCATAACAATAATTAAATAGTTGCTATTGTCAAAAGTTTCAACTGGACGCTCACCTTTGCCTTGGTTGAAATTTTGACGCCGATGTGAACTTGACCCCAGCTAAAACAGAAACAACAAAGATGCCATTAAAAGTCTTTTATTCGGAAGAAGAATAGAAAGTGAAAACAAAAGTGAAGCAAGACACGGGTAGGTTATCCCTGCACGCTCAGGTCTCTGAAGTCCTGTATCTCTACAGGCCTCCGCCTTCTCACGTGATATATGCTTTCTTACGCTGCCTTTCTACCATTAAGTTCTAATCTTTAACAAGGGCCTTTTAAAAAAAAAAATTTGGAAGGGTTCATAGGACAGCTTAGGTGCAAAAATATAACTATACTCTAGTGATTGAGTTGTGTCCACGTTCCTTGTGCAATTTTGGTAAACCGTAAATCCTTGCCGATTGTGAGCCTTTGGGATAGATACTGTTATAAACATCACTGGGACGAAAAGCCTGAGAAAAGCGGTCACCTTGACAGTGATATTTATAGCAGTATCCATCCCAAAGGCTTACAACTAGCAAGGATTTACGACTTACCAAAAATGCACAACTATATTCTCACAACAAGACACTTTGCCTAAAAAACAGTGCCAGTCTTTTCAACGAGAAAAGCTTCAAAGGTGTAACTTTCATAACTTTCAGTAAGCTGAATAAACAGGAAAAAATATTAGAGCACACATTTAGAGTGAGTCATACTTAACAAGCCTTCATCCCCATTTTCCTCTTACTAAATCCTGATCCCTCGCAAAATCACGTCCAACGAATGTTCTTCAGTATTATTACTTTAGTTAAGTGGTTTTAACCCAGGAGGCCGTTAATTCGTCCTGCATCAACACGAAAATACTTGAAACTGCTTCCCTCGTTATATTATCGACGTTTTGACCACCTGAGAGGAAGTCTTTTCAAAGGCCACGATCCGTAAATTAATCATCTTTCTTGGGCAACACTGTTGAAACTGAAAGTGATGGAAATCACGCAAACATGCAACCATGCAATCTTAAAAACATTAAGATACTCTTAACACGACCTTTCTTAAAGCGATTTTCGTTCCACATTTCTTTGAAGTTACAATTAGCTACTCCGTTTGTATATACAATTTATTATCATTATTATAATTTATAATTTCGGTCTTATGCTGTTGTTTTTAACTCAAATCCCAAGTCGCCCCATGAGAATACCAAATTCCGCATACCGCTAAAGCAGTCCATTATCAGGATTCTTCTCGATGAAGTAGTTTTCTATCTGTAAGTAATTAAAAAGATGATTAGGTCAATAATGAAATTGAAAGTCTGAATTCAAGACTGATCTTGAAAATAAAGAACGGAAATCCGACTATCAAGTTATGGAGATATAATTGGATTAATGATCATATCGAAACTAAAAGTTCCTGGGTCTCTAAGACAGACAATCCCATTCTATTAGGAAAAAAAAATTCAACGGCATCATACTCTAACATATCAGTTAACTGACCGCGAGATAGGGAAAGGAGGAAAATGTGCAAGTCGCCCACTTGGTCTGAGCTCACGGAAGGCTCGTTCTATTGAACAATTAATTGTAGAGGTTTCGCTCTCTGAGGCCATATAGGAAAAAAAGGGAGAAAATTGAAATTAAAAACTTCGAGGCTGTTTTGGCAAGAGTTTTCGTTTATTTCGGGTCGTAATCGAATGTAAAACAATAAAAGGTATAAAATGCTTTAATGTTATTTCAATAAAAAGTTTAAATTTGTTTTTAGACATATTTTCAGTCCTTTCAATTCTGATATTAAATAAATTCAACCGTTTGAGTGACAAACATAAGATTTTTGTCTGATTTGTATCTCGAGAAAAGCGGTAAAGATATTTTGATGTAAAGAAATAAGTCCCTGCAGCCTATTAGACCATAGTTAATGGAGGGAGACTGGTCCCCTCTACTAACTATGATTAGACTTGCTGTAACAAGAGATCAGCAAACATTTGTATTTTCAACATAAAATTCTAAAATTTGTATAGCGGCAGCTCTGTAATAAAATTTCCAACGGATGTATGAAAAGGAAGCGCTTTTGATAAAAATACGTCATGCGGAACGTTTGGGTGACACAAAATAACAATTAACCCTTAACTCCCAAAATCTGATTGTAAATTCTCCCTTTTAGCTGCTAAACATTTCCTCGTAAATTAGTTACGAGAACTCGGTGTTAGGTTATGATAACACTGAGTATTTTCACTACTTGTTTACTGGATAAAATATGGATAACATGGAAAAAAATTACACGTTTTAAAGTCACTTCAGGTGCAACAGGTCCTTTAAATCTTCGTACCTCTGACTTCCCTGCATTTCTCTACATTTTACTATTTATCTTTATAACAATTCTCGCCTATCGACCACACGTATCACAATCGCTTGGCATGTTGCCGTGGGGGGAGAGGTGGAACGTTGGCTTCAGTTCCGATGGGGGAGGATGAACTCTGTTCGACGCCACCGTACAGTTCGTTAAAAGTCACATCAACACCTCTGTTACTAACTCCCAGTCCATCTTCTTCGTCCTTTAGCCAACAGGATGACGCGTTGTCCATGATTGGAACTTTATCCTCTTTTTTCGTTCGTGAATCAGCTCGGCGGCGCGCTTTACTATGCTTTTTTTCGGCTGCTGACACTGCAACTTCACTCAGCGGGCTCACATCAGATGAACCCTCGTACAGTGGATTAAAATCGCACTGACTGCGGTACGAGATAGCGGACTGGTACAGGGGGTTCGTATCGGCCAAGCTCCCAGACCCTCCGTTGACACTTCCCGACGGGCCTGCTTCATAGAGCGGGTTGATATCAGCACTTGTATCGTATAAAGGATTGTCCCGTTCAAGTTCTGTGGCTGTCTGGTAGATTGGATTACTGGCTCTTTTGTCATACTCTGCTGTTAACGTTAAGGTACTTTCATAGTTGGGGTTATTGACAGATTTTATTGTCATCGATTTCGCTCTGTCTTCTGAGGATTGAACCACATCCGAAGGAATGGAATCTGGGTTCGACATATGACCATATATGGGGTTTAATGACACATGATCTTCCGCCTGATTCTCTTCGTCGTCAACTCCATCCACGTTTTCTATCAGAAAAGAGGAAACAGACAAGAAAAATAGTAAATTTTGGTTTCACATTCAACTAAGAAGTCTACGAACGGCTTTTTAGTTCCCGCGGCTTTCAGTGATTTCCCTCGCATTCTGGATGATGATCTACAGAAAGTCTCTGAACAGACTAAACCACGTGATATGAAAGAGATTACTTACTTGAACTTTTGGGAGATCTTATTAATTTCTTCATGGACAAACTATATGGAACAAATAAACGAAAATCAATGAAAAAATAAATACTATGATTGAGTAGGTGAATAAATTACGGGAAAACTAGTGAACTTCGAGACGAAGTCGTGGTTCATAAAAACGCAAAAGAAGAAAAGGCTAATATAGCCATTTTGACTGAACAATCTTGATCAATGGAGGATTTTTTTATACGGCAAAATGATTTCGCCCTCGTCAGAATCAAGAACGACCGGTTTACTTTCGAGCGCTAAGAGAGAAAGCCAACTGTGATGGTAGTGCGTGATCGTTTTTTATTTGACAAATTGCAAAATAAAGTGGTAAGATAGGTTTTCTTTACATTTTAAAAAAGAATATACAAAAGCTAATTCAGTTCTTGCTTGGTCACGACTCTAACTTCTTTTGTCTCGTTTTACCTGGAACAAAACCGCTTCCATGCTTCCATATCACATTGTTTTTCACATTTTTCATATAAAAGTTGTCTGTCAAAATTGTCCAATGAGTACGAACTTTTTATTGCGTTGGATCAAAGCGCTTGCTCTCTTGGGTAGCCAATCAGAGAACAGTATTTGCTTCATATCGCCCAAGGGTGCTGCTAACTATATCATGAATTGATAGATTATTTAACTTCTTTATTACCCTCGGACGCAAAAAAAAAATAAAAATAAAATAATTGCCACAGAAACACCTTGAAAAAGATTTAAACCACAACGGTCAAGGCTTTCATGAACAGAAATATTGAACCATTTAAATATTTTTTTCCTTGTTAACATGTGCCTCACCCTTTTCCTGTTCTGGATATCAACACGTGCTTCCTTCTCAAATAAACCAATACGATGATAAGAATAATTGCTACCATGGCAACCCCTACAGCGATAACCACAGGCGTCACAACAGAGGGAGAATCATCGCCAGTCGACCGGCCAGAGCCGGAAGAGTTTTTAAAACCAGGACTGGGGACAACAGTGCTCTCCGTGGGAACAACTGAAATAAGAAATCACCAAAGAAAGAAGTAAGCGCTTCTCTCTTTCTAAGACTCAAGCTCCTCTAGGTCTGATTTAGGCTCCTACACAATTACGAAAAAGGAAAAAGACACAACTGCAAAATAACATAGAAGAAATGCACTACAAACATGGTTATGGAAGTGAAAGTGCACTTCCAGGATAGCTTTTAATAGAATTGTACCCCATTGGCCACGACAAGCCAGGTCTCCACAACGTTGGGTTACCCAGCTGGAAAGGTTGTCCTGGGCTTGACCCGGCTTGACTACTGTAACAACATACTGCAAAAAGGTTACCATGAGCGGTGACTCAATTCAGGTAAAAGTAACCCTACGTCGAGTAAAGAGGCTCTTAATATTTTGAAGTACCTTCTTCACAGAACTTTCCTTGAAATCCCGTCAAACAGTGACAATAACCAACTTCGTTATTGCAAGTCGAATTATTCTCGCAAAGACATTTGTCCTCGCAATTAAATCCGTAGTAACCTTCAGGACAGGCTATCAATCAATAAAAGAAGGAAATAGAGGTCAGTGCTAAAAACTTGTCACATGCGTGGACCAAAAACATTCGCCTAGGAATCGACATACACTCGCTCTGACGAAGAGCTAACGCTCGAAACGTCAGCCAGCCTTTTGATGGCCAGTTAGCAACTCAGTTAATAATAAAGATGTTTTTCTTATCATACAAATAACTAAAAGAGTTGTGGCAAGACACGCATTGATCAACACAGGTAAACTGAATATGAAGATGCGGCTTGATCAAATTCAGGCTTCGATGGGGCTCAAATCCGCGCCTAGTAAACAATGGTAACCAGGGCAATCCATTAACAATGAACCGATTACCAATGGTACTATCCTTTAATTCTTTCAGTCACGATTTGTAAACAAAAGAAAACAGAATGTGCACAGTCAGGGATTTCCTATAAAAAGCTACAACATAGTTGTTTGCATCTTTGATTTTTATCAGCTTACCTACAGCTGGTAAGTCACCTTCACAAACAATGTGTTTACAGAGGTATGTGAAAGTTTTTTTTTCCAGGAAAGGGATTAAAGAGGAGCACTGCACCAACATGGAGTTGGACCTTGGAGACATTTTAAAATAGTTATTGTGAATTACCCTTTTCTTGGCACTGTAAGGGAAAGGACCAGGTGTAACAGCCATGAGAATAACATAAAACTGTCTTACAGGTCAAACCACTAACGGTCTATACGACGTACTTTGATTGCAGTACTGACTGGTAAATCCTGGTTCACAATAACACTCTCCGTTCCTATAATCACATTCTTTGTCCATATTAGGCATTCTGCATTCACATTCTTTCTTGCACTTGTAACCATAGTAACCTGCCGAACAAGCTAAGAGAAAAACTTATGTCGACAACTAGCAAAGTATAACCCGTGTCTGGTTTCTTAAACCTTTCACTCCTAAGGTCTTTTTAGCAATTCTTCTAACTGTCTAATTTCTGGGATATACGCCGAAAATATTGTAATTTTTTGCAGGAATTAATGAGTTGAAATCATCTTTTTGTGCAATATTATCTCACTGTATTAATAAATAATAAAAAAAACAATTCATCTCTTCGCGGCTTGGTAAACATCCATCACTAGCCCCCTACACTTTCGTGTCTAGTCGTTAATTAGACTTACGCACATCTTTTAAGATTATTTCTGTCAAATGAACCCTCTAGCTAACTATACCTGACCTCACACTGTGCACGTGATATTCTTACTTTTATCACATATATCTCCTGTCCAACCCTCCAGACAGGTGCATGCTCCAGTCACGTGATCACAATTCTCTGTGGACTCCTTCACGCACTTGCAGTCTTGTAAACAATTTGCACCAAACTTTCCTCTAGGACAAACTGGCAGAGGGAAAAAATTATCATCTCGTTTACCTTAGCGAAGAACGTCCCACGGTTAATTTTAAGACCTTTTGGCAAATATTTTTCTTTGGAAAAAAACGCTAGTGGTTAAAAAAATAATTAGGAACAGAAACTTCCAGCATGTATACTGACTCTACCAAAATAATTATTGTTCTATAGTATCGTCACTACAGCACTTCTAGATTGAGTAGCGTAAAACCAAAACCAAAGTTATCACAGCAGCCAATCAAATGATCGAGAAATACCTTTAGGAGCCAATGAGAGCTCAAAATAAAACCAACCAAACTGCTTAAGGCGCGGGAAAACGCGAGCGACCAAGACGTGACACTGTGTTAGTTTTGCATCTGATTGGTTACGAGATTGGCACGAGTTTTCTGGCCCAATGACAGAACAAAGTAATGCAAACCAGAGCAATCCCGTATTACTTTCAACACTCAATTGAAAATTGCTCTAAACATGAAAGACAAATCCCTTCATCCTTTTTCTCGTCGGATCTCTTTAATAATTGTCCTTACTGTCATCCATACAATTGTTATGATTTTAAGTCTGAGAATTTGGTTTTGGATCGACTAAAAATTCTCTTGTTGATATTTTTCTTTACTCTCATCACTTGTCTGCTTGATATTGTATTGACCTTGTAAGGAGAAATTCTGTCTTGGTCACTCATGGAGGTTAAACCTCTATTTCGTTCCTCAGACTCTAACCCTTGTGAATAAATACGTACATAGCGTGCACTCTTTCCCAGACCATCCAGGCTCACAGAAGCAACGTCCATCGATAGGGTCACATGATATAGTATTGCCTTCATAGCACTGGCACATTGACTGGCAGCCAAGTCCATAAAATCCACTGTCACATGCTGAAAGATATTTTATCCTGTATAATCTTCAAAAAAGCCACTTGATCAAAGATAGATAGAAAAAATGAAAACAAAACAAAGCATAAAGAGTATCTAAGGCAAATTCAAAACATTTTATGATGATCACTTATTCAGCGATGTTTCTTGGAATATGGTGCTTTTTTATCTTTTTTTTTCCTAAAGGCTAGGTATCATGCATACTCGTCCACTTACATTGGTTACATTTGACTCCCTTCCATCCTGCATTGCAGGTACATTTTCCAGTGACATGATGACATGACGAGTCGTGTAAACAGTCACAGCTGCTGTTACACCCTGGACCGTACCATCCATCAGGACAGCCTGTAAAAACAAACCATTAATCCATGAGGCTGACATAGTAATATCAGCTATGAACAACATACTGCCATACTACTGAAGGGTTTAGGGAACGTCCGAGGTTTCCAAAAGTTCGTTTGTCAGTCTGTCTGTTCTTCTCTTTGTCTGCCTGCCTGTCTGTTTGTCTATCTGTCTGCCTGTCTGTTTGTCTGTTTGTCTATTTGTATACCTGTCTGCTGTCTGTCTGTCTGCCTGTCTGTTTGTCCATCTGTCTGTCTGCTTGTCTGTTTTTCCTGTCTGTCTATCTGTCTGCCTGTCTGTTTGTCCATCTGTCTGTCTATCTGTCTGCCTGTTTGTCTATTTCTCTATCAGTCTATCTGTCTGTATGTCCACCTGTCTGCTGTCTGTCTGCCTATCTGTTCGTCTATCTGTCTGTCTGCTTGTTTTTTTTTGTATCTGTCTGCTGTGTGTCTGTTTGTCTGTTCGTGTCTGCGTGTCTCTGTATGTCTCTCTGAGGAATGACAAAGATCCATGCTTCCAAACCAGTCGCTAGACACTTTAATTATAAGCAACATATGGAAATCTGCGGCCTTTCCCTACATCTAGGCTGGCAGTTCGGAAAGCTGCCAAACTCTGGAACAAAAACTTAAGTTATCTCTGAAATCGGTACTCTTACTCCAAACCGTATCAACGAATGCTTTTCATTCACCTTATTTATTCTCGTTAGCATGTTCCCAACAATAGCAAAGCTCTATATCTCTGTATATAGACCACACACAAACTATAATTCCTCTATTTGCTCTGACGAAGGGCTTGAAGAACGTCACTTTTAGAAACTCTCTACGGTGGCCAATTTGCATTGTCAGCGGAGTTGATAAATTTTCTGAGTCTGTTTGTCTATTGTCTGTCTGACGGTGTCCCAGAAAGACCACTGTACATAAAAACGCGTCACATGTAAATTCAACACATTAATTTAACTTTACCATTCAATCAAATACGCAGGGGTTTTTATAATTTTGTGCTATGATTTAGGTCGATTTTATCACATCCCTGACGTCAAATAGTTAACGCTGAAACGTGAAAAATATCTCGTTCAGCTTTGTCAGTTACACTCGCTAAAATAGACCCTGCATCTTAAAAAAAAAAAAACAAAACAAAAAAAAAACACAAGTATCAGACTAGTTGCTTCACCTTGCTCACAAAAGGTGCCCTGCCAACCAGCCATGCAGCCGCAGGTACCATCCACTGGATTACATGAAGCACCATTCTGACATTTACAAGTTTCCCGACAGTTGATTCCAAAGCTTCCTAATGGACATTCTATAGAAAGCAAGCAACAGCAGTGACAACATCGACCGAAATCATTCGTTCCACTTTTTACAATGTGGCAAAAACATAATTGGGAAAGGGAAAAATTATGACCACTCCTAACAATGACAACAAGAATCAAACCTATGGTCTTTGGAGTAGAAGTACTTTGGATGCTCTGTCACTGAACTATAGGAGACCAGAAGCAAATTTAATGATGGGAAAGTGTTTGCACACCTGTGTTTCCCTAGTTGTGGTGGATCTTGCTTCCCACTTCCCACCTCGAATAAAATGTTTAGTTTTCTATACTTTAAAAGAGCTGCAATGTGAAATTGTTTGAAAGAAACGGGACTCATAATCCAACGAGAACTCACAAATAGACTAATTAGAAAGCCTGAGATTTCCAATCAGAACAGGGTAAGGTTCAGTTCAGTTTTAAGAAGCCATGTGATACATGATCGTAATAGCTGTTCTCAAGAACAACTAGTTATGATCATACCTTTATAGCAGTTTGGCAGCATGAAACCCGCAGGACAATCACAGGAGCCAGTAATGATATCACATGAAGCATTACGGTTACAGTTGCACTTCTTGTCGCATTTGTTACCATAATATCCAACACTACACTCTAAAAAGACAACAACCGACATCAGTTAGTTCAATGATAAATATAATTAATCATAAAAATTAAAATTCCTTCGTTGTGATTGGTTTAAAAAACTCCTGTTTTCCACTTATTCACTTGCCGAGTTGTTATCAGACACTTCAGTAAACCAATCACATTTAAAGAGGTAGTTCAAATCAACCAATCACAGTGAAAGTTGTAGTTAAAATCATCCGATAAAACCTTGATTTCAATCACCATAGAAACAGTGTACAGACTCCTAAATTGTCGTTTAATGCAAGTTTTCCCTTCATTTCATAACTTGGATATTCTTCTTTTCTCGGAAATTGTAATTCTTATGATTAACTGGTCATAAGACTTCGTGTCGTTCAATTCGGTCTGTTATCATACTCGTGATAAATAAATCGGACGTTATCACTCGTATGGTTACAGACCGAATCGGACTCCATTCAGTCCCATTACCATTACGAATACTCAATCAGCCGACAGGCCAGAATGCCTTTGCTGCTAGGACTTATTGAAGGTTCAGTGGCGTGATCAAGCAACTAGAAGTCCTTTGAACCAGCTACCCTAGCACCGGACATAATAATAAAAAAAGACACTTCAATTTCACTTGTGACACAGCTATGGAAAATTTCAATGCACATGCTTTTCCCTCATTTTAAAGTAACATTATCTATGTTTTCAAGTTTCCGACAACAAAAAAATGGTTTTAGAGCCAAGTCTTCAGCGAAAGACAACAATGTGTCTTTTCTTGCTTATTTTGGACACCAGTTTGTGCCTGGAGAATGCAATACTGTTTGGGAATTAATAATTACGTCAAACTCGTATGTAACTTACAAAACAACAAAAGAACTTACTTATCTGCTCACTACAATAGAGGCCAGTGAACCCATTCTTACATAAACACTTGCCATTAATCCTGTGACATCTGTAAAAAAAAAGTACAATATGTTATGACTATTTGGTGAGACCCTGTTAATACGGTCACGGAGGGGCCAAAACTGATTGGCCATATAAACGAGGTGGCCGTATGAACGGGGCAGGATCATATTTCTGAATTGCTTAGCAAGTTGTCACGCTGGAGGGACCTTAGCGTTACGATTTATCTTTTCTATCATGTTTGTAATGAAAACATGGAGGAGTGATGCTTCCTTCTAAATGAATCAGCTGTTTGCTTAGTAAATGACAGGGATAAGTGAAATCTCCAAGTGACAGGCATCTTGGTTTTCTAAATTCAACGCTGATGACCGGAGAAATTAAAAAGGATTCTACCGTTTAGGATTTTAAAATATGGCCGTTGGCCTTTTTAACGGGTGACTGCACAAGCAAGGCTTTTTTTATACAAGAAAACATATGGTCGCTCTCCTAGGATATCAAAAAGTGGTTCCTAATAACATGGTGACCGTATTACCGAAGGGGCCGTAAGGCGGGGTTCCACTGTGCTTATTTCTGGAGAAAAAAATCTCAACATAAGATTACAATGTAATTTCTATTAACTAATGTTAACTTTGGATAATTGTGATATTAAACTTCACTTACCTTTCAGTTTGTGTTTGATTGCAAAGACATGAATTTTTACAATTGACACCAAAGGTCCAGTTTCCGCACACTAGAACACAACAACAAAATTGATTGTTCAGAGATTTAGATAGATTTCTCCAGTTTTTTCTGAAAAAGTTCTTTGGTTTTGGGAGATTTGTAAGCCTCACAATCATAAACACAATAGTCAGCGAGATATTAAGCTAAGCGCTTGAGCACAAGCTTTTCTTCACTCGCAGGAGAGGTCTGCCAGGGTCTTAACCATCATTATTGATAATGCCTACACCCCCGACAAATCTCTCCGAGAAACGGGTGTCTTGTAGTGCTAATAACGAGGGCCTCCTCGCAAGCTATAAACAAAATAAAAAATTTGAGAAATCCATTAAACATATGCCTTAATTTGCTTTTGGTGCCAAAGCAGTAATACAGCCACAAACTCTCTCATTGTACTTGAAAAAAGTCAAAAGAGCACTCTCTATCACAAGTGTTTAAAATCAAGTCACACATTCAACAAGGAATTCCAATTTTGTTCCACCACTCTGAGGATGGTGTCTAATTTTTAGCTTTGATCATCCTGGTACACTAGAGCAGCTAAACTGTCACAAGTCTGTCACTTACAGATATCACAACTTTCCCCTTGCCATTCATTCACACAAGTACACTTGCCATCCACTGAGTCACATGACCCTCCGTTTTGACACCCACATTTTGATTGACAGTTCTTGCCATAGTAACCAGCTGGGCATGGGTTGTCACAGCGGACACCTATCCATCCTGGCAGACAATCACAGGTGCCATCTTTTTTGTCACAAGTTGCATTGTTAAGACATTGGCATTTCCCTTTACACTGAGGTCCAAAAAATCCTGGACTACACTCGTTTTCACAGTGTGCCCCTTGAAAACCAGGTTGACATCTTGAAAAATATAAATTATGATAAATTATAACATGAGCAGATCACGTCAGTCAAGATACCCAACAAAAATTTCCCCCACATGTACAAATTATCTTTCTCACCTCAAAGTTTACATTTGGAAACACTGCTACAAACATTGCTATTGATAGCAGAGATGTGAAAATATTTGCTTTTGGGCATTTCAACACTATTCCATTAAGAACAAATAGAAACTTTCAAATTTTTGATAACATGTACTATATCTGCAGTGCAGGCATCTTACAAGGGTGAGTTCATGTTAAGAAGCTTGCAATCATTTATTCAACCAGCTATGTTAGATTTGGAGATGGAGTCAGAGGAGGAGGGGGGCAGGGAAAGGTGAAAAGATCTTCACTCCCTGACCCCCACCCCTCTCCTTTTTTTTTTTTTACCATCGACCATCCCCTTTGGTACAAATTTCTTTCTCTACCCAGCCTTCCACTGCCATGAAAAAAAGATAGTGGGCATAATTTCTGCTAAGAAAATACTGAGCACTTTGCTTGTTGACAAAAGTTAACAAAAAGAGAGACAGTTAAATGCTATGTTTTAACTTGCCACAAATGTGACATGAGCCCTGCCCAATATGTTCCATTTCTACATCCACTGCAATTACTTATTGCACCAGTACTTTCACATTTAATGAAATACTCACTGACATATCCCAGTGAATGGATTACAGGTTCCATGTATTGTACAGTTACAGTGCTTGATACAGTCCTGACCCGCTGAGCCTGCAGAGCATGGCTGGTCACAGTATACCCCTGTGTACCCCACTGTGCAATTACATGAACCATCCACAGGAGAGCAAGTGCCATTCTTACAGCGACACTCTTCTGCACAGAAACTTCCATAACTTCCAGAAGGACACATATCTCCACATCTGAAAAGAAAAGAACAATTTAAATTTAAAAAATTCAAAATTATAAATGAATTTTGCCTTCATGGAAAACAAATTTCAGATTTACAGAGGCTGGCATTCCTGTACGATGATATAACTATAAAAAGAAAACTAATGATAATGATTATAAAAAAAGCTACTTGCCTATGTCCTTGATATCCCGGAGCACAAGTACAACTTCCATTCACATGATCACAGACTGCACCATTCAAACAGTTAATGCACGTTAGGGAACAATTATATCCATATTTACCATTTGGGCATTTTGAACCACACAAATCACCCTTAAATGAGAAGTTAGAATCCTCAATTATAGAAAGGTCTTGTTCATAAATTTTAGGATTTTTTCATCTTGTGTGAAACTAATTCAATCAAAATGGGGATCTAAAGGACCTGCTTGTTACACAACCAAAGGGTTCCATTATTGATGTTTTACCTAAAATTGATGATAGTTCCATATTGAATTTAACCACAAATAAATTATTTAAGCAGTTATGAAAAATTGGAAGAAAAATAATGATTAAGCTTTATCATATTACTATGAGAGCATGCACTGGATATGAGGAAATACAAAAAATAAGCACCCAGTGTGGAAAATGTTTCTAAATTCAATTAGAAGAGGTTTCACCCCTTACCAGACATTAACACAGGTCATGCAATCAGCAACTTTTGTTACAAAGTTGGTGACCAAAATACAATTCACAACTTAGGGAGCTGGCTTAATTAATTTCAAAACACACACACAGAACATTTTGTAACTTGCATAAACTTTGTGTTCCAAAAATTATGCATGTCAAGTGATCACTCTCTGGTTAAGCTATGGGAAAATGGCTAGCATTCTATGGTTACTGCTCCAATCCAAATTCTAAAATTCTTAATTGTTCTTAATTGCACCTTACATGCTTATTAGTTACCTGCCATCCAGCAGTACAGTTACACTTGCCAGTAATGTGATCACATCTACCTCCATTGAGACAGGTGCACTTTTGTGCACAATTTTTTCCATACCATCCTTCATTGCAATGAAGATTACATCTATAGGGGTAAAATGATATTTCCTTAACAAGGCCTCAGCCTATAATATTATATGTCATTAATTTTTAAAGTGCATAGATCAAGATGCCTAAACTTCCAAGTTCTGACATTTAACTAGCAATCAGTTGCTTAATTTAACTAATTTCTAATTTTCTTCCAGATTTCTATGAAATATGAATTACAAAACTGCAAAAAATAAAGAAGAATGTGAATCATATCATTTAAGCAGATGAGTCATCAGTTTCACCTTTTCCTTGACCATCAAAAAGGTTCCTATAAATCAGAGAAACCTCTACTGTTCTAATTAACTAATAAAACCATTAAAGGAAGACAAAAACTAAAAAAACTGGGAAGAAAGAGAAGACTGGCCTGAAAAAAATTGGGTGGATGGACATGTTTAATAGATTGACAAACAAGTTGTCGGCATCAGTGTAGACCAAGTTGCTTGAATCTATTCCATAGAACTGATACTATTCTATTGACACACTAGAAACTTGATGCTGATAAGAATGATAACAAACCATACTGTATTAAACACACCTTGTACCTTGGAAGCCTGCTGCACAAGTACAATCTCCTGTGACAGGTTCACAAGTTCCACCATTCAAACAATCACATTTCTGCTGACATTTATCACCATAGAAACCTTGGTCACATGACTGCTCACACTGCTGACCCTTCCAACCAGGAGTGCAGGCACACTGACCTGTGTGTGAATCACATTTGGCTCCATTCCTGCACTTACATTCATGTCGGCAGTGAGGACCCCACTTGTGAGAAGGGCACTCTGAGAAATTTAGATCAGGAGAGATCATATATCAATGATTTTTAATAACGACCCAACACCAGAATTACGCTGAAAGTGACACTTAAATTCAGGAAATTTAAGATCTTGCATAGATGATGCCCACATCTCTACCCTTCCAATCATTACATTTATTGAAAATCACAACATAGCTTTACTAAAGCATGCACTCTGATTGGCTAATATGCTTGATCCATTTACCTGTGGGTTTAAAAGTCTCAATGTTATAAAAGAAATTGTTAGCAATTGCAGTGTGCAACCATCAAGTCATGGATGCACTCAGGAGATTTGCTAAGCACTCAAGAAGCTAAGGGTCACACTTGGCTAGTGCCTTGTGCAACTCTTACTCTTCTTTCATGCTTAGCAAGCTCCTCAGTGCATCAAGGCAACAGAGGCTGCATGCTGCATACTAACCATTTCTTAATTGTCACAAGTAGTACTAAGTAAATAGCCAAATAGTCTGCTTGCAGACATTTGGTTTTCTTATTGAAGAGGGATTTCTATGTTAACTTTAAGTGTTCAACAGTGTTCACTGTTGGTAAATGATAAATCTCACTGGAACAGTCTCAGTAGTGAAAAAAGTTGATACAGATTTCAACTAGTGCTCATGAGATAGATACAATCAAACAGCTGAAGATGCCAAGTAACACACTCAATTGGATATTCAGGAAATAAATGAGACTGTAACCTAAACAATGAGACAGTAAAATTAAGTTCTAAATATAAGTTGTTCACTGGGGCTGCCAAGAGGAGATGCTTGTCATTAAACTTCAACTAACCTTCAAAATGACCAACATAAACTCACCTCTATCACAAAGTAGTCCATGATAACCTGCATTACATGAACATGAGTCCGGCTGAGTGCAAGTCCCATTAACACAAGGATCCTTACAGATGGCTACAATGTATAAAATGACCTGATTAACAATCTCTTTTCAATATTTGGTTTTGGCAAATTTGGTAAAAAAAAAACAGTTTACTTAACAGCTTTTACAAATTGTGGCAAAATGGGACCACAGTGATGTATACATAAACCTGAGGCATGAACAAAGTAATATGGAAAAACTTGTTCAGAAACTTTGTGATCATTCAAAAAATTAAATTTTTATGGGAAAGCATGCAACAAATAGACATAGTCACATAAACCTTGATTTCCCTTGCAAGGAAAATCTAACCCCCCTATCTTATTAACCTCCTTAAGGTTCAGATGATCATAAGAAACTTATTGCCTGGGATTTTTCATGACAAATCTCTATTTAGTCAGTACGAGTACATTCTGCACTAAAAAAGGGGATTGGGGATGGTGCAGTGGTTCTCATCCTTGCTTCAAGGGTTTTCCTATATATATAGTAGGTCATTTGGTTTTCTCCCCCTCCACCACAACCAACATTCCAAATTTGAATTCAACTGGACAAGAAGAGCCACTTCATGGAATGTTCAGTAGTCTTCTTAACTCCCACAATTATTTAAAAATTATTTTTGTTAATATTAGTATCAATTGTTAACTTTCTAAAAACATAAATTTTCACACACTTATTATGTATTAACAAAGGACTCTGACTTACCAACTGGACAACCATTCCCTTCCTGTTTCCAACCAAGACAACAGAAATATACAGGTTTAAAAGCTTGGCGAGTAAGTGTTCTATAAGACACCCCATATAACGTTCTGAATAGTGAAAAAATATTGAAAATTAAATTCTCTTGCAAAAAAAAATACAAATTCTCAGATAAAACAAGCCCTCTCATATCACTGTGGTTAATTTCCACTCATTTTTTTAAGAATGATAGCTTTACAAAAAACATGCTAGGGCACTTAATCATGTAATGGATGATAAGAGAAATGAGGGGAAATATATATTCTGCTTCCTCTCAATAGAATTTGGCATAAATTAGCCAACATCTCCTGATGTGCATAAAATTTAAATTCCTTTTCCAAAGGACATAGAATTTTATCTAAACATCATTGACACACTGGACACACAATGCAGGTTTTTCACTACTGGTATTTAATAAGAGAAATTTTAATTTAATTTCCCTGATTTTCTCCAAAATGATAGTTAAATAATGTAACCTATACCTATTTTTATCCATACCATTTTTCATTCTGTGGAAATCATTGATTAAGTCAGAGTAGCTTTAGTTAGAGCTAAATGTAAGAAATTTACAGTGTAACCAACAGCAGCTCAGATCTGAATATCTAGTAGCAGAGGATTTGGTTAAAACTGACAACGGCACTTATTCACCTGTACACCGTGCATCTTTTCCAGCCAAACCATCCACAGCCAGTGGATGACTTTTTCTTCCAGCTCATTTGAAAGGATTGCTGGTACGTCTGTATGAAACTGTCAACAGAAAATATACTTCATACCTTAGTAATTAGGAAAAATATTTATGCTGTGTTTGCACTCATAATTTTAACAGATAGCACCATATAATAGAACCACCAAAAAAGAAACTCTTTGAGCTGTTAGTTTGTTCATTTTTAGTCAGTTCTGAAAAAGAATGGCTCCTTTCAATCAGGGTTTCCTTGAAGTTTACAGGTGGGCATAAGTAACTGAGCAGTGGATTAAGTGATGGAGCATGAAGTTTAACAGTCAATTTCCATTTGGTAATTGGTCCATGGTGTATGACCTTCAATACTATAATGTGCCATGGTTTAAGTTTTCTGTAAAAGGAGTATTTCCTCTGAACTAATTTCCAAATATTACATAACAATGAGGGCTGGCTGGGAGAGTGGCATCACAAAATTACATTTATTAGTTTTGCTTCATGATCACACCTCTGATGGCATAAATCACATCACTTGAAAAAATTTGAATTATTGATATAAGAAAATGGTTTGAACCTAAAAATAACTGTTGATTGCATTGTTTCATATTTGAAGGAGAGTAGTCTTGTGATCATCATTAATCTCCTAAGATTTTCCCCTCATGTTGTTAAAAAATCAGTCACTACTACTGACAACAGTTCACCAGGACTTTAAGATCTCTTGCCCAGATGATAACACTATTTATGATCCATCAAATATTTTTGCTTGATTGACTTAAATGCATCATGTGACCAAATATTCCATCACTGAAACTAAGGGATATCCAAGGATATCACCCAGGTGATATCCCACAATTTTCAAACCTTAACTCTGCTATGATAAGTCTTCATGTAAAATTAAATTAAAGATGAAGGAACATTTTATGGTTGTCACAGAAGGGAAATATTTTTTGTTCATTAAGTTGCAACAAAAAAACATTCAAAGGAAAATGTCCCACACAGCAAACAGTAAGGTTCATAAACATTTTTTCATGTGCATTGCAAACTATTTAAGGATATTAAACACAAGAGCCTTTACTTGGCACGAAAATATGCTTGTTTATTTGTACTTGAATATTATCTGTTCCTCAAAGCTCACAGTTCTCCTCTAGCTTTGCTATCAGAAAACAGTTTGCATCTTGGAACAGATGACGTCCATGGACCAATATCCATGCATGTAAAGTAAAGGTGGAGAAGTTTTTTCTAAGCCATAACCAACAAAAGCTCATTTTATGACTGGGGTGCATCAAACCTCTGCCCGAGATACAATCACAAGGCGAAGTTATCGAAATGACCTAAGCTTACCTATGGGATCTTGAGCAAACGTTCACGCCATTCGCAACCAAGGAACCTTCCGTTAGGCCGACGAAACCAAGATAAATGATAGTTACTCCAAACGTACAGGCCCAAGACATAGAAACGCCCATTTCAGTAGTGAAATAACTAATTCTGTGCGGAAGTTTTGCACAGGTTCGCAGAAAGCACGATTGCCCAATCGCCTGTATGTGGTAACTATTGAATAGGATCAGTTTACAACAGTAAATGACAAGTGCTATATATAACCAATGTAACGCGTAATCGTCATAAACATCTTTCTCTCAGTTGTGTCTCGTCCTTTGCTCTTCAATCTCTGTTCGTTCGATGTAAGCGTCCAAGACACTTTTGCTATCAATTATTCTAGAGCTCGTATTCAGTTTCATTGCATACGTTTTTTCAATACAAGTCAAGAACCTCCTGTGGTGGTTTCGTGTGACAGGCATAATTTTGTAAATAATGTGACAATGCCATCGTCAGAGCATCAAGCATAATGCCGGTAACAACCACAACTTCTAAAAATTCCCAATGCAATATGATTTAAATTCTGTGGTCTGAGCGTTGTCAACAGCGAGCCTTCTTTTCTTGCTTGCACCATCGGGATGTGACCACTTAAATAAAGGATGTCTCTTTTTCTGAAACTGTTTTTTTTTTTTTTAATCATTAAATTGAGGATATTATTCGGCACAATGCCATGTTACCAGGGGTGACGCTCAAAAGTATAATGCCTCAATAATAATAACAATTGACCTGACCCCAACAGGAAATGACGGTCGTATGCCATAGTGCGTGACATGTAGGGAGCACGGGAAGGGAAGTTACAATAAAATAACAGTGATAATAATAATAACAATAATAATAATAATAATAATACTAATAATAATAATGGTAATTCTGAATTTTAGAGGTTTGCCGTAACTTTTATAAACCTCTTTAATTAAAATGCACGGTATTCATTTGTTTCAGCTCGGCCAATGTGTATACTAGGGTACGGTAGTTTGGTATTACCAACTGAGTTAACGTAAATTGGTCACCTTAAAGAGTTTCAATGCTCTGAAACTCAGCTTCTGATACTTAGCTTTTAAACTCTTTACGGTGGCCAATTTACGTTATCAACTCATTTCGTAAGAAAGGTTGTGGTTATTCATCGTTGTGAATAACAAAAAAGCTAAGTTTTTTTTCGTTTGTCTCAAGAAGTAGTCACGTGTGATGTAGATCGCGACGTTTCGACTACATACCGCTGGTCTTCGTAAGGCGATGAGGTCTACTGGACATGCGTGATCTTATAAAGCATGATGCTCTGCTGTGATTAGTTGTTTTTCAACAGCTCTGATTGGTGCACTTCGATCCTTGCTGTTTCACTCAGTGATTTGCTCCCTCGGCGGTCCGCCGTTGCCTACAACAACAAGGCGTACGCGCTGCTTTCAAGTCGGACTACGCTAAGATCTCAATTAGTACGACCAAAAGACGCTGTCGACCTGGCTAAAAGGTCCAAGGAAAAAATAACGTCACGATTTTTGAAAATTAGAAAACCGCATGACACAGTTTTAACATATACTTAGTTCTTCTGTGTATCTTTTATTAGAATTCCCTTGGTAGCTGGCATCTGATCATGAGTTCATAATAAAAGCTGCCACTGACATGGTACATATATCTCCCTCAAAATCGGCTAACGAATTGATTGGCCGTAAAATTGCGGTTTATTTATGATTCAAGGCAATGATCATATGTACCTGATTTTCAAATCCCTGTTTCATTTGTTGCTCCAGCTGTGGAAAATGAGTACCTAATTGATAAAAGTACATCCCAAAAATCATTTTATGACTCTAGAGTCGCGATTTCTCTCTCTAAAAATGAGGAAAATTTCACCAATATTCATATGACAACAGATGTAATTGCTTAAAGCTGACAGCGGTACTGGTTTGCTTTTCTAAGTAACAGTCAATAGCTTCACGGAATTATATCAGTTATTTAATTTTTTTCTGGTTTTCTCTCTTTGCCCCTCGTTCGACCAGATCACAACTGAGAGCACGTTAAGATCATGTCGAGTGTCCTTACAGCCGTCCATAGTTTGAATTACAGTCGTTTCGCCTACGGGTCGTTTCGCCTACTGTCTGCTCACCTACGTCTAGAATCGATTCGCCTACGTCCGATATGTCAGTTCGCCCAAGTCTTAAAGGTTCTGCGAGGTTCAACAAGGACTTTTAAACAATTCAATTTTAAAGCTTTGATATATGAATCGTAGGCGAACTGACATATTGGACGTAAGCGAACCGACTCTAGACGTAGGCGAACAGACGGTAGGCGAAACGATCCGTAGGTGAGACGACCGGTTGCCTATAGTTTGTACCCGGCTTCAATAAAATGATCGGGTAAAACCAAACAAATGTGGTGAAATTTCATCAGAGGTTAAACTTTCGCTTGATGTTAATGCCGTTATACTGCACTGGATTTTCTGAGCTTAAGGATAAACGAAAGATGCCAAATATATTGATAAAAGATAATGAAGTAACTTTGACGTTGAGAAGACAGAAGAACAGAGGAAAGAAAGACGGGAAGGCTGAGCGAGAAAGAGAAAAAACACACCAAGTGAAGAGCGAAGAACGGATGAAAAGAAATCGCTATGTACACAAATCACTCATGTGCTAGAGAGTGTTTTTGAGAAAACCAGGCGAAACTGGGTAGAGGCTATAATACTCAAATCATTAAGAAATTTTTGGCTCAAACTTAGTACAAATTGTATGTTCGATGAGTTAACAACTGTATGAAGATAAAAGGTCAAAATATGTAATTCCTTGAGAGCTAAGGGGTTCTCCTTGGAAAATCCCCATTACCCGCATTTTCTGCATAATTATGAGGAAATTAGATTTCACTCCACTGGGTTGTTTTCTATATTGATCAGACTAAACACAACTAACTGTTTAATGCAGACAATTTTATTTCTCCCCTCACCTCTCTTCAAAGTAAAGACAACTTTTCCTGATTCTGACAGGGCCCTAAACTATGAGCCCGATATCTCAAATGAGAAACTACTTCTAGCCATTGTTCTACCACAAGAAGCCCTCACATAACTTCCAAAAACAGTAGTAAATTTTTGAGCAACTAATTTCATTATCCCTGCTAACGTAAAATATAAATTTAACCAACCCTTACATGTCTGGTTCATCAAAATTCCGTCAACCACATATTTGTTATTAACTTTAAAATCACTTGAAATCTACTGTGCAATTTTCCGGAGAATATGACTCTATCCATGCGAGAATATAAATTGCCATTCACAAGTGAATACATTCTTCAGGAAATTTCAACAATGCAAAATAATTCTCGCACGTTTCAGCATCACAAATCACCTCAAAGCAATTTTCAGCCACACGCAAAATTTCTGCGTGCCTTAATTTCCCATTGAAGTTGAAACTCTCTGAGCGGCCGTACGCTCCTGCGCTGTGAATGATGCACAAGTCACCAATCTCTGGATGCTCGTTCAGTTCTCGGTCGATGGCAAACTTGTCAATGTTTATGCACAGAGAACCCACCACGTCGAACATCTTCTCCCTCTTATTACCCTCGTAATTTGGACAGGCGTACGAAGGATTGTTTACCACTGTTTTGTAATCGGGAAGGTCTTCTCGCAAATGGTTTGGAATAGCTTGATCCTTTACAATGGTGATGTGGTTGTACATGCCGAATACGCTTGGGCCCATCAAGTCAGCCATGGAAGCATCCACGCCCAGGAAACGTTTGTACGTGTCCTTCATGTTGATCACACGTGAAACCAACCAGCCACAGTCAACGGTTACCAGCGTTCCGCATTCGTACTTTATCTGTAAAGGATGAAGATCAGTGTGCGGCAACACGATTTCTTCGTATAGACGTTTCACCTGTTGCCCGAGATCTCCGAGATCGATGGGCTCATCTTCAGGACGATAATTCACACCCATACCACCTCCCAAGTCGACAAATTCAACTGCAATTCCTGTCTCCCTCTTGATTTCCACCGCTAATGAAAACATCATACGAGCAACTTCGGCTAGATCCAAAATATTTAAAGAATCTGACATCAGCATCGTGTGAAGACCAAAGCGCGTTACACCATATTCTCTGCATTTCTTGTAGGCGGAGAACAACTGGGATTTTGTCATTCCATACTTAGACTCGACAGGGTCTCCAATAAATAAGTTGTGTGTAATGTTTTGGTATGGACCAGGATTGTAACGAAATGAAATTACATTAGGCATCTTCCCTGCTAACGCCTTCTTCATGTTGTCGATTTGGGAAAAGTCGTCCAAGTTGACAATGGCCTCCATGTCAAACGCCTTTCGGTATGCTTTGAAAGGAGTGTTATTAGATGTAAATATGATATCTTCGCCTTTAATTCCCAGTTTTTCACAGAGGAGGAGTTCGGTCAGTGAGCTGCAATCCATTCCCATTCCACAATCCTCATAAAGCATTTTCATAATTTTAGGGGTCGGTGTTGCCTTCACTGCAAAATGATTCCTAAAACTCGATCCAGTTAATGATTGCACCCAGGCAAAGCTGTCATTGAAGTGCTTTGCTCCTGTTATTATTTTCTGCTTGTCGTAAAGGTAAAATGGGGTTACAAATTGAGAGGCTACTTTTCTGAGCTCTGGTTCGTTGCAGGGTAAAGGTTTCTTCCTTAAGTGTTTCAACGCATTGCTGAAGTTTTCCATTTCCAGCCAAATCTACATGGATACCAACGGTAATAATTAATAATGGTAACTGAACTGAGTGCAGTGTAATTTGTATTATAACATTGCTAGTAAATTTGTCCAATCAAATTCAATTGCGCGAGCGTGCTTCATATTCCTATTGCGTACGCTCATGACATCAGCAAACATATCCCTCGAGAAAAAAATTTTCTATCGGGTTGAAAATGTTATAAAACAATTGGTCCATACGTCAGCGTGCGTTCATCGAGATATGAAGCACTTGGGAAGTTTGGAGAGCACGAAAGATGCGTAAGAGTTGCTCGGGGCGTAACCGAGAACAACTCTACCTTCTTAAGTGCTCTCCAAACTTCCCAAGTGCTTCATATCTCGATGAACACACGCTGACGTAGGAACCAATTGTTAATTATAACATAGCGCGCGTGCTTGCCCTTTATAAGTCCTATTGAGCCGCTATGAACAAAATCTTTATTTACTCACGCCCGTGCGTAAACAAGATGACGTGAGCACTTTTTTTACCTGGCCTTAGAGTCTCCTTCCTGTTAAGCTGCAGTGCAGTTTTCCTTCTCTTTGAAATATGGAAGAAACCAGCAAAGAACTGCCCGATTTTTCTATCGGCATTCATCATTTAGGTCCTGATCCAACAAGCAACAAAAAATAAAGCCGAAAAAAACTCACAAGTTGCACGTTTCGCAAATTTGTCTTGATAACTTCGGGTCTTTGACTTTTAAAACATTTTTCAGTGACACGTGAGTTCATTTGGCTTTGATTTTCTCCATTTTCCCCGTAAATTTTTAGCTTTTCTTTCACAGTTATCAATTAACTGGCTCAAATTCTCTGGCATGTTTTTGACCAGCCAATAGGGGCGTTTGTTTACTTTTTTTGTGCGTTGTGAGAATTTTGCTCTCTGTCACAATAAAAGGCTTCTTCGCGCAGATCCTTCTTGTCGCTCTTTTATAAAAGAATTTGCTCATTAGCTGTGCGTATATCGAGTTATGGATGTACTTTGGAAGTTTGGAGAGCACTCAAAAAGCTAGAGTTGCTCTCGGCTGCGCCTCTAGCTACTCTTACGCATTTTTCGTGCTCTCCAAACTTCCCGCGTGCATACATAACTCGATATACGCACGTTAAGCATGAACAAATTCTTAACTGGTAATCATATGATTTCGAGTGCAATTTGGGATAAATCAGCACGAGTAAATTATTCAAAGGCTGATTTATCCCACATTGCACGAGAAAAATCATGTGATTACTAGTTAATAAAAAATAATATACATGTGTAACCCCAAAAGGATACCTAAGTTGCTGAGTAGACTATTCGAACGCACATAGAATGTGAAGTGATCTTTAAGAGAGTGTCTCTGTAAGAGCGGTCCGGTCGATTTTGCTTGAGACA